GAACAAGAACAAGTGCCACAAATCTCTGATGGAAGGGCAGAGTGACGCCGAGGTGAGGATTCATTCTCATGCACACGCTGTTCTCTACAGCAGCACTGTTAGAAACTGTGTATAATGCATATTAATGTGCAAATTGCACATTATTAATGTGTTGTGGGAAGCTGCTTAGAAAGTAATTAATCTACAGACCTTTAGTTAACTACATACAATGTCTTAAGGGAGCAATTTCATTCTAAAGATATAAAACACCATAATATTATTTGCTATTCGCATAGAACTTTCGGTAACGCTTCCTTTTACAGTACAGTACTTACAGTGTACTTACAGTGTACTAACCTAGAAAGTACTGGCTAATATAAGGTAAGTACAAGGAACAGGGGTAGGTTTAGGGTTAGTACTAGTTATTACCCAGTAATTGTAGTTACTAAAATAAGTACATAGTATTTACATGGGTAAAATACTAGCGTTAGCAAACTTTCCTGGTACAATAGTATAAACACCAAACTTCTGTTGTGCATAAAGAAGATATTTTTTGAATCCGTTCATTTAAATGAATTTACTGGGATGAAGCTGCTTAGAAAGTAATTAATCTACAGACTTTTAGCTAACTACATAAAATGTCTTAAGGGAGCAATTTCATTCTAAAGATATAAAACACCATAATATTATTTGCTATTCACGTAGAACTTTGGTATATTAACTAGTGTAAAACATCAAACTTCTGATGTGCAAAAAGAAGATATTTTTTGAATATTTGAAGAGTTCAGATGCAAAAGCCTCTAAATGCCATTTGAAATTTTCTTCTTTAATGATGATTTTTATCAAACTTGTATGTTTAAGTTCAGTAATTTCACTTAAATAACTATTAATAGGTAATTATCATTGCCATTTAAGTGAAATTACTGAACTTAAATATACAAGTTTGATAAAAATCATCATTAAAGAAGAAAATTTCAAATGGCATTTAGAGGCTTTTGCATCTGAACTCTTCATTTATTTATTTATTTATTGAACTCATTCAATGTAGAATGAAGTGTATCTTCTGGCACTACTGCACATATGAAAACGCGTGTTTGATTTTTATCTCAGCTCATTTGACCCTGTATGCAGATTCAATATGACATAGGATACAACAAAATAGCATTCTGCATACAAAGCAAATCCTTACTGCTCATTAATGTATTAAAGGATTAGTTCACTTTTGAAAAAACTTTTGCTGATAATTTACTCACCCCCATGTCATCCAAGATGTCCATGTCTTTCTTTCCTCCGTCGAAAAGAAATTTAGGTTTTTGATGAAAACATTCCAGGATTTTTCTCCATATAATGGACTTCAATGGGAACCGGATGATTCAAGGTCCAAAAGACAGTTAATAACAGTTTCAGATGCAGCTTCAAATGATATCAGACGATGAATAAGGGTCTTATCATGCGAAACGATCGGTTATTTCAAAACTTATTCCAAAAATGTAACTTTTCTAAGGACAAATGCTCGCCTTGCTCTATTCTGTGAGGCGCGTTTGCAACGTCACGTAATACGTAATTACGTTCAAAAGGTCACGGGCGACGTAGCCGTAAGTACAGAGTCAGTGTTTACAAGTTGAACGCATAGGTTGAACGTGCAAACTAACTCAAACACCGTTTACAAGAAAAGGAATTAAAAGGAAAAACAACGATGTCGGACGATTTTGATTCTGTACTTCTGGCTACGTCGCCCGTGACCTTTTGAACGTAATTACGTATTACGTGACGTTACAAACGTGCCTCAGAGAATATAGCAAGGCTAGCATTTGTCCTTAGAAAAGTTACATTTTTGGAATAAGCTTTGAAATAACCGATCGTTCCGCATGATAAGACCCTTATTCATCGTCTGGTGTCGTTTAAAGACATTTGAAGCTGCATCTGAAACTGTTATTAACACTATCTTTTGGACCTTGAACCATCCGGTTCCCATTGAAGTCCATTATATGGAGAAAAATCCTGGAATGTTTTCATCAAAAACCTAAATTTCTTTTCGACTGAGGAAAGAAAGACATGGACATCTTGGATGACATGGGGGTGAGTAAATTATCAGCAAAAGTTTTTTCAAAAGTGAACTAATCCTTTAAGTTTCCTGATATTGTGCCAGATAGATTCATAGAGAATCTGATCATAATACCAGCTTGAAAATCATTTGTAATCCCAGCACATGCACATGATGAGTCTCTTGCAGTGCGATGCAAGAGTTAACATGCTATTAGACATAGACTCTGAACGCAAGATCATTTTCCATTCCTGGAGTAATTGAATTCTTTGAGCATTATCGTGATTGATCATACTTGCTCAGCATTCTTTTAGCTTCTTTATGCTGCTTTAATGGCTTTGTCTTCATTGCACATTTTATGGGCCGCTGGTTTGATGTATGGCCTTCACCTAAAGGTTATTCTTCCAGCGCACACTTCATTAACTCTTCGCTGGATTCCCTCACTCTGAATGCAGAGTCATGCTCGCTTTACTCTGAGACAGACACTGAGCCGCGCACGACTGCTGATGGAGTTTCTCATAAAGCTAAGTCGAGAAAACATGTTTGGATATTTCATTCTGTGATCAATATGCAAGAGCAAAATAAATCCTGGTGATTTAAACTATTGTAATGCACGACTGCCTGACATGAAGCGGATTGCATTCGTATGGTTTCATGCACAGCTAGCCTTGGATTATCCTGGTCATTTGCCCAAATTGATAACTTAAAGCTGTTATTGATGTTTGCAGCGTAACATTTGACTGGAATAGAAAAGTTACGGCTCACTAGCATTCGGTCCGCTTCAAATCAGACACAGAGATAAAGTAGTGCGGTGCATTTATTTCAATGAATGGATTATAGCATTTATTTGAATTAATTATCTAAAGAGAGTGAGATTGAGAGAGAGAGAGACATGTGTGTGTGTGTGTGTGTCTGTGTGTGAATTACCTGCGTCTGTGCCGTGTCTCTCTACTAAAAGTGAAGCTGTGAGTTTAATTACTTTAAAAACAGCAATATGTCTCATACCCCCGCATTGCTGAGAAATATAACGCACCATTGCTGTATTATGTAGCCAAGCTATTTTATTAACAGAATGGTGATTAAACTGACTGGAACTACCTGTGTATTAAAACACACACCTTCCAACCAATCAGAATAAAGTATTCCGAGTATTTGGACAGAATGTCCAAAAAAAAGACTGAAAGTCCCTGCATGGAAAATATATATGCGAAAAGCCATTAAGAAAGAAGCACAAACAATCAAAACTCGCAATTTAAGCGAGCAGCTTCAAACTCTGTTGTTCTCAAGTGCTCCGCATCACACCACACGATAACGCTGGATAAAAATAAATACGTAAAAACTTGCGGGCTGTTGTACTGTAGTTCACCCAGGACTGGACTTTATTCTGTATGTGGTTTATTTTGATAGGTGAACTGTCTTTATAATGTTAAGAGAAGGCTAAACGGGAGATATTGTTATTTGCCCCTCCGAGGAGTGGGAGTGGGGGCCGGTTAGAGGACTTTTCGCGAGTGATGATATTACTGTGCCGAGTCGAAGTGCTCCCAAGCACTTGCTATGGTATTGCTCCATACAATATAGTTATCAAGGTGCAACATTTATTTTGTGTCACCAGCCTAGGTCAAGTTACACAACTTGAGTAACTGTATTTAAATAGGGAAAACGAGGAGGTGTTTGGTCGCTTCTCTTTTTGGCCCATATTTAAAGGAGTAGTTCACTTTTGAAAAAACTTTTGCTGATAATTTACTCACCCCCATGTCATCCAAGATGTCCATGTCATTCTTTCTTCAGTCGAAAAGAAATTAAGGTTTTTGATGAAAACAATCCAGGATTTTTCTCCATAATGGACTTCAGTGGGAACCAGACGGTTCAAGTTCCAAAAGAAACTGCAAACTTGTTCAAATGGCTTTAAACGATTCTAGACGATGTAAGGGTCGTATCAAGCGAAACGATCGCTCGTTTTATAAATAAATAACAAAGTTTAAGTTTTATAAGCTCAAACGCTCGCCTTGCTCTGTTCTGTAACGCACCCCTGTTCGAACTCGTTCATCAAAATGAACAAATCTTTTTCCGAGTCATTTGGTTCATTTGGCGAAAGAAACGAACGAATTGATTCGGAAAAAGATTTGTTCATTTTGTTGAACGAGTTCGAACAGGAGAGTCACAAACGTGCACCACAGAACAGAGCAAGGCGAGTGTTTGATCTAATAAAACTTAAACTTTGTTATTTATTTATAAAACGAGCGATCGTTTCGCTTGATAAGATCCTTATTTATCGCCTGGAATCGTGTAAAGCCATTTGAACAAGTTTGCAGTTTGTACTGAAAGTTTCTTTTGGAACTTGAATCGTCTGGTTCCCACTGAAGTCCATTATATGGAGAAAAATCCTGGATTGTTTTCATCAAAAACCTTAATTTCTTCTTGACTGAAGAAAGAAAGACATGGACATCTTGGATGACATGGGGGTGAGTAAATTATCAGCAAAAGTTTTTTGAAAAGTGAATTAATCCTTTAATGAACTGGGCTAAGCTAAGCTAAGATATAGTGCACGCATTGAGACTTCAGAGGTATGTATCAACTCGTCTTAGTTAAGGGAATAACAGTTTAATTTGAAAAACCGGTGGAGTATCCCTTTAAGGTGGCAGTTTAGGCAAAATACAATTTATGTCATAATTTGCTCACTCTCAAGTCGTTCCAAACCTGTATGATTTTTTAAATATATACTTATATATACATTTTAAAGAATATTTCAAACATTTTTGATGATATGGTGGTATTATATTTAGAATATCTTCTTTTGTTTTCAAGAGAATGAAGAGAGGTTTGGAACGACATGGATGAACTTTCCCTTTTAACCAGGACTGGTGATAAAGTCGGTAAATTGCCTTTAACAATCACCAGGTGACAGATATTACATCAGCAGATCATTTGGCGTTAAGTACAAGGAATTTGAGACAGGAACATGTGTAATGACACTCACACTCGCTGCCCTCTCCAGGCGGCTGATAGAACGACAGACCCAGGGAGATCATGGCTGCGATCTCGAGGATGATGAGGGTCACGTCTTGCAATGCTTCCCACACTAACTGTAAAAAAGTTTTTGGCTTCTTTGGAGGTATAAGATTTTGCCCGAAGACTTCTTTTCTTTTATCTAGATCTGTGGCGTCTCCAGTCAGACCTGTAAGGAAACACAGAGACAAATGTTACAACTCATAATACGCACAAGAAAAATAAACAATAGTGTAAGATTGCGATTTACGATTTCCATTTCACATTGACATTTCCAGTTTTCAGTGTCAACTTTTCAATCAACTTTTATGTATATAGAACAATAAAAGCAACAGTAGTTGACCATTGTGCTGTACAACAGGAAAAATATCTAAAAAAAAGAATACAAAACCAAATGATAAAGGGAGTTTATCACCAAATTTTAAATTGCAACATTAAAATCAAGGACAGTGGTAAGCCTGTGAAAAGAGGAACGTTTTTATCTAACACCGTGTCCTAACTACACGCGACGCGATACAATTCCAGCGACAGCGAGTGTGTCTGTCCACACTAGACGCGACGCGACTGTGAGACGCCACGCGTCAATCAAAAATCACAGCCATTCAGAACACCATGTGGGCGGAGTCTCTCTGTGAAAGCGCACTGCTGGCCCGCACTCGCATTGGAAATGGGTAAGGACATAACATAATTAAAAATCAAAACATTAACAAAATATACTCATTGACTAATTTTGTTATGAAGAACAGTTGTATGTTAGAATACATTTTGAACGCTATATTATATGCTTTCAAAATCTGAGGTGAATTATCCGTTATCGCTTGTGGCACTGTGACCTATTTTTAACTAAAAAAAAATAATGTGTACTCATCGTCCATGTTTGATGATTAAATATTCATGACACGCAAAACTTCCATCCAATGAGATCTCTGTGTGGGCGGATCTGTCAGCCACGACGTCGCAGAAATGGGAACCGTTTCTAAATTAGAAACTTTGCGTGTCGCCATCGCGTCTGGTTAGGACAAAAACTATGATTAACATGGAAAAGATACCTTTTATCGCGCATCGCGGCGTTGTGTGTAGTTAGGACAAAGTGTTAGATTTAAGAACAGACTCTTAGTCCCAGTTAGCCTAGAAATCTAGACGCACCCTAGCGGCAGCAAAAATTATTTCGCAGCCAGTGTGGTCTAGCAACTCTCCATAGACGTTTTAGATGGAAAAACCAAACTCTGATCAGGCCAATCACATCGTGTATAGAGTCGGCAGGCGGGCTTAATATAATGACGACAAAGTTGCAACGGTTCACTGCTACTTGAAAACAAAGAATGGCTGCTGCTGGCGAACAGCTGTCTTTCGATTCGACTTTGACCGCATCTCTGGATGATTTGAACTTAAGCTTTTCTTTGAAACCAGAACAAAGAACGGCACTTGAGACTTAAACAAAAAAAAAAAACATGTGTTCTGAGTTTTGCCGACTGGATACGGTAAACATTTAATATATCAACTAACTTGCTCCAATGGTGGGAAAACGCATGGGATTCAGCCGTCACCTTCTTCGTTGCTCTGATTGGTTGTAGCACTATCCAATTGGAAAGACAACCGTTTATCCTGCCCCTCGAATTGAGCCCTGTCAATGATGAGTTCCCAGACCTAACATCTTGATGTAGGTCTGGCATGCCAGGCTAAGTCCCGCCAGTACTAATCCCACTTTTAGTTTGAATAAGATGCATTTCTCTCCATTGATGGTCCATTGATTCTGACTAGGCAAACACACTCAACAAAGCCAGCACAGTCTATCAGTCCAAGATAAAAGCACTGCTTTAGTGAAACAGTGGCAAACGCTTTGGTCACATGTGACCTTTCTCAATGCCCAGTGCAGGAGTACACATGACTACACGGATCACTGGTTAACCAAACTAGGGTATACTAGCAATCCAGAACATACTTGAACAACATGCATAATGAATGAAATGAGCTCACTAAAATCCAATAAACATTTTCTTCAACTGATTCTGACTAAATCACATTTTCAGGAGAAACACATTAAACACGTTATACACTCTTTAAAGTGTGAAACAGCAGACTTGCTGTGTAAATGTATTTGTCTCTGAGTCTGCACTGAAACTGACAGTGTCAGATTTTTAAAGTACCTTTACATGGGTCTAATTGTAAAGCATGATGTAAACCTGTTTTCCTTTCCAGTTCATCTAAAGCTAATCCCCATAGAAAAAAGAAAACAATTTAGTTTATATAGTAACTACGCTAAACCTCAGTGTTGATGTGCAGAAACGATTATGGGTTTTATTCAATTTTACAGTGTGTTTGTTTGTGTTTTATTATTATTACTATTATAGTACATAACAGAAAAAAGACATCAGAATAAACACTAAGGTATTTCAAAGTTGTGTTCATTTATAGTAAGTAAACTAAATTAAACATTGACCAACAAAAACTTTATATTTTCATACTTTTGCATGTTATTATATTATATGTTTAAGGTGAAGTTATAAAAAACTTTTGTTCATCACTGCTTTTGTTGATAAGATTAGTAACTGGTCATTTTGTGACATTAGGAGTTCATTTTCCACTGAAAATGACACAATCCATCCAATGTTACGTAAATATGGTGTTTCACAGAATATCTATTGTATTAATTACTTCAAACGGACTGAAATTAAGCTCTGGGTGTATTAGCAAACAATCAGTTCTCAAAATCAGACTCGTGATCGACAGGTCGGATGCGGGAGAAACTGCAGGAATAAAGATCTGAAAAAGTTTGACAAGGAACGTGGGTCGTAGTGTCTCTGAAACGAGGCTTTTGGGTCGGCTCCCATCAGTTTACCAACATTTGCTCGAGGAGGCATGAGCTAGAGATCTGCGCAGGAATCCTTTCCCACTCCCACATGTTCCCGGAAAATAATGTCCTGTTCCCACTCCACCCACAACTTCACCCCCGCCTTCAAAAGCCCACAGGTAAACGTATACATTGAGTTTTTTCAGTAAGTCAAAGACATTTCCATGAAAATTCATGTGTAGCCTAGCCACAACCTCCCAACATAAACACTCCAGATACAATTTTTGTTATTAAAGGGATACTCCACTTTTTTTTTTTGGAAATAGGCTCATTTTACCACTCCCCCAGAATTAAACAGTTGGGTTTTACCGTTTTCAAATGTATTTAGCCGATTTTCTGATAATTAGAAGAATATCAGTAACCAGACATTTTCTGGTCTCATTGACTTCCATAGTAGGAAAAAGTATATACTATGGAAGTCAACGAGACCAGAAACTGTCTGGTTACTGATATTCTTCTAATTATCAGAAAATCGACTGAATGGATTCGAAAATGGTAAAACCCAACTGTTTAACTCTGGGGGAGTGGTAAAATGAGCCTATTTCCAAAAAAAAGTGGAGTATCCCTTTAAACATCTACATTCATAAACCACTGTTTATTTTAACAGAGAGCAAGCATAGGCTTCCGAATGCGTGTTTTGCTATGACAGAAAGCTGTCACTCATTTTAGTTCATCGCAATCTCACAAAGTTCTGTTATAATCAATGAAGCAGTCGACACTGGACAAAGAATAATTTATTTGCATCATGTCAACACTTCGTTTGTTGGGTTTTGCGAGTGTAAACACTTCTGATTGGCCATTGCATTCAGGAGATCAACAGATATGTCTCTGATTGGCCATTTTATTCACAAAATCAACAGATATATCTCTGATTGGCCATTGCATTCATGAGATCAACAGATATGTCTCTGATTGGCCATTGCATTCACGAGATCAACAGATATGTCTCTGATTGGGCATTGCATTCACAAGACCAACAGATATGTCTCTGATTGGCCATTGCATTCATGAGATCAACAGATATGTCTCTGATTGGCCATTGCATTCATGAGATCAACAGATATGTCTCTGATTGGCAATTGCATTCACAAGACCAACAGATATGTCTCTGATTGGCCATTGCATTCAGGAGATCAACAGATATGTCTCTGATTGGCCATTGCATTAATGAGATCAACAGATATGTCTCTGATTGGCCATTGCATTCATGAGATCAACAGATATGTCTCTGATTGGCCATTCCACTCATATGATCAACAGATATGTCTCTGATTGGCCATTGCATTCATGAGATCAACAGATATGTCTCTGATTGGCCATTGCATTTAGGAGATCAACAGATATGTCTCCGATTGGCCATTGCATTCAGGAGATCAACAGATATGTCTCTGATTGGCCATTGCATTCAGGAGATTAACAGATATGTCTCTGATTGGCCATTGCATTCAGGAGATCAACAGATATGTCTCTGATTGGCCATTGCATTCATGAGATCAACAGATATGTCTCTGATTGGCAATTGCATTCACAAGACCAACAGATATGTCTCTGATTGGCCATTCCACTCATATGATCAACAGATATGTCTCTGATTGGCCATTGCATTCATGAGATCAACAGATATGTCTCTGATTGGCCATTCCACTCATATGATCAACAGATATGTCTCTTATTGGCCATTGCATTCATGAGATCAACAGATATGTCTCTGATTGGCCATTGCATTCAGGAGATCAACAGATATGTCTCTGATTGGCCATTGCATTCAGGAGATCAACAGATATGTCTCTGATTGGCCATTGCATTCAGGAGATCAACAGATATGTCTCTGATTGGCCATTGCATTCAGGAGATCAACAGATATGTCTCTGATTGGCCATTGCATTTAGGAGATCAACAGATATGTCTCTGATTGGCCATTGCATTCATGAGATCAACAGATATGTCTCTGATTGGCCATTGCATTTAGGAGATCAACAGATATGTCTCTGATTGGCCATTGCATTCATGAGATCAACAGATATGTCTCTGATTGGCCATTGCATTCAGGAGATCAACAGATATGTCTCTGATTGGCCATTGCATTCATGAGATCAACAGATATGTCTCTGATTGGCCATTGCATTTAGGAGATCAACAGATATGTCTCTGATTGGCCATTGCATTCATGAGATCAACAGATATGTCTCTGATTGGCCATTGCATTCATGAGATCAACAGACATGTCTCTGATTGGATTTGCTCAACCCGGCAAAATCACATTGTAAATAGAAACCTCTGGCGCTCTGCGCAAACACAGATACACACTTGATCAGTCG